AACAATCGTTCCCGTGGCATGTAAAAATGAATGCATTGATTCAGGAAAGTCAATAGATCTACTCTCGTGCAGATTGTGTAGATGATACGCACATTACCTAATATCATACCCACCGAGAACTAATGGCTCCTGTATTGGTAAAAGGATTTTCATTTCTGATTTACAGTACTTGGCGCATCCTCTTTGCCGATGAATTTGTTTTCGTACATTGTTCATCATTATTACTTTCCTTCCCATGTCTCTTAAATTGTATCTAAACTGATTCACAATCGGCTATCAATCACCCCTGTTCTAGGGGGATTAGGTTCACGTTAAAAAATTGCATCGAGCGTACATAATTAAAATTAGAACAGTGAAATCGAAACGCTGAATATTTCATTCTGAGGCCACATATCAGTAACATTGGTATTAGTTTCACGACTGTCCGAAGCCTGTTTCTGTCCATAATCAGTGTGAGTGGACACTGGTCCCAGGCACTTCAAAGCCCTGTGCTGAAGCGTTTTCCAAAGCTGTTGGGTATGCTGGTTGAAGGTTCGTATTTCAGATTTACCCCGAATACGTAGCTCTGAGTCAACACTATCAATGAACGGATTCATGTTGGACTTGCCTCCAGGGCTATAAGCAATTACCACGATCCCTGCAGGAAATCTGTTACAGTCGGCTTGATGACAATTCGGATGGTGTATGCCATCATCTACTTTTACTTCAGGAAAAGAAATGTCTGTTGTTGATGTATTTGAACCCTCTACCAAGAGACACTTTCCCGGGATGTTTATTTTTTCGTAAGATGTGCAATCAATCGTTGTCTTCATGGGATATCTTTATTCTTGGTGTTACCCGCCGTGATATTGCTGGCGTATTGCTGGAAAAAGGCATTATATAAATTATGCACTCACAACCTACAGTGTGATAATGACACTTGCTTCTTAGAACTACTTTCTAATACCTGCAAATTTAATCACTCGTCACACTTCGGAAATGTCGACAACCGCGTATTTCCATGACGAAGACGGTCATAAGACATCGTACAAACACATTTGCTGAAAGAACTGTTTGTTTATTTGAAGCAGGGCCATTTGCCGGTTATGCATATTGCTATTGGTAGACTGTGGGAATGTGCAGCTGGTTCTGTAGTGACGAGACCAAAAACTGACCGTGGATAGAAAACAGGTAACCTCAGCATGACGGTCAGGTCTTTCTAAAAAGAAAATAGTCCCTTCTCAGATTCCGTGCTGAAAAGAGAATTACGCGATGTTATAGGGTACTAGCTTCGAACAGTGTCAAACTTCGTCAGTGAAATTATATATCTGTGTCTGAATCATCGTCTACAGTTTCACAGAGGCCCTGCCACCTGTGATGCCAATCAAATATAATTTGTTCTCGTGGTTGGTGTACCAAATATATCAGATTTGCAAAGTTAAACAACATTGGTCACGGGAAGTTACTGGATTAGTGAACTTTTTAGCATCAATTCCTACCGGGTACTCATTCAGTGCTGGTTGAACAGAGGCATCTTTCAAACAAATTCTCGCTCATTCGAAGACACTACGTGTAACCTGTGTTTCAGTGTGAAGCAGGACCGAAAGCCTAAACACTCCCTTGATTCAGAATGCTAATACACCTTTTCTCCGCGACCAAAGTTTATCTTTTATAACTTCGTCTGATTTATGACCTGTGTGCAGTTTAACAGAGGACCACGTGCCACCTTTTGAATACAAGAACACAACTCACTATAACATTATCATTTGTATTATTTTTACTACAAATTAGAAAGTAAAAGGAAAGGACATATTGAAAACATTCAAAGTAGTAAAACGGATAACACATCATATCCATTTCTGATAATACCAGACGTCACGACGATTTACTGGAACAATGATTCCGTTTTAATTCAGACCAAAGACAAACTAGCGAAGCAGGCTGAGCTAAGGCTCATTCACCCCCATTTAAAAGCTTTCTAATCAAATGGAAAGATACAGACTTTTGATTTATGAGTAGATCATTATCACTGTCTGTCAGATAGACAGCTTAACTGCACATGCCAACCAAAGCTGTTGATTCGTGGTTTTGACGTCATTTAAAATTGAAAATTGGTGTTGTTCCAAGTAACGAGGAGGCGATAATACATAATTAATGGCTGCAGATTTACAGAAATATGTTGCTGTCTTTTATACTATTAGATAGTCCTAGACATTGTGTATACATTAATAATATTAAATGTCTAAATATTTTGTTGTTTGAAAGAGATTATACATTTATAGATACTTGGTTGTGCGTAAATGTGATTCATCTTCTATAAATATAAATACGATGTCATGTTATTGGCTATGTACAAGCCCCCACGTTCTTCTTGGGCCTGTCTGTTTTTTATCTACATGTTTTATGTTTGGACATACTTTTTAAAAGAATGGTTTACGAATCCCTCGACTCCAAGAAAATGAAATATGAAAAAGAAAACAAGAAAAACAGTGACCAGTAATACGTAAAATGTCATCAAACAGCATCTCATTTGCTGTCGCTACCAATATCAATAAATCATTTAAAATACCATAATTACAATTTGTTGAGAATTGTTAAAAAAACTTCGAAACAGAAGGAATTATGACGAATAATACATTTGAGTACTGAGTTGTAATAACACATATGAGTACTGAGTGGTAATTGTTGAGTGTGAGTGAGTGAGTATGGTTTTACGCCGCTTTTAGCAATATTCCAGCAATATCACGGCGGAAGACACCAGAGTTCTGAGTTGTAATAATACATTTAAGTACTGAGTGGTAATAATACATTCGAGTACTGAGTGGTAATAATACATTTGAGTACTGTGTGTTAATAATAAATGTGAGTACTGAGTGGTAATAATACATGTGAGTACTGAGTGGTAATAATACATTCGAGTACTGAGTGGTAATAATACATTTGAGTACTGAGTGGTAATAATACATTCGAGTACTTAGTGGTAATAATACATTTGAGGACTGAGTGGTAATAATACATGTGAGTACTGAGTGGTAATAAAACATTCGAGTACTGAGTGGTAATAATACATTTAAGTACTGAGTGGTAATTATACATTCGAGTACTTAGTGGTAATAATACATGTGAGTACTGAGTGGTAATAATACATTTGAGTACTGAGTGGTAATAATACATTTAAGTACTGAGTGGTAATAATACATGTGAGTACTGAGTGGTAATAATACATGTGAGTACTGAGTGGTAATAATACATTCGAGTACTGAGTGGTAATAATACATTTGAGTACTGAGTGGTAATAATACATTCGAGTACTTAGTGGTAATAATACATTTGAGGACTGAGTGGTAATAATACATGTGAGTACTGAGTGGTAATAATACATTTGAGTACTGAGTGGTAATAATACATTTAAGTACTGAGTGGTAATAATACATTCGAGTACTTAGTGGTAATAATACATGTGAGTACTGAGTGGTAATAATACATTTGAGTACTGAGTGGTAATAATACATTTAAGTACTGAGTGGTAATAATACATGTGAGTACTGAGTGGTAATAATACATTTGAGTACTGAGTGGTAATAATACATGTGAGTACTGAGTGGTAAAAATACATGTGAGTACTGAGTGGTAATAATACATTTGAGTACTGAGTGGTAATAATACATGTGAGTACTGTGTGTTAATAATACATGTGAGTACTGAGTGGTAATAATACATTTGAGTACTGAGTGGTAATAATACATTTAAGTACTGAGTGGTAATAATACATGTGAGTACTGAGTGGTAATAATACATTTGAGTACTGAGTGGTTCGTAATCCTATCAAACCCGTACACTGGCCTGCACATAGTCAGCTAAAACATTGATGTAAACGACAATATCATGTGAACAAAGCATCGGCCTATTATTTCGCAGTCTTAAGGGTTATATCCACATTTCAAAATAGCCATTGATGGACGCTAGCTCTAATTACAGGTGACAGACATATTTCTGCGGGAAACAGACCTTTGGAGGATCAGGTTCTCTGCAGTTAAAAGAATGTATCAATCTTATATTTCACTTGACTACTTCCATGCTTGAAATAGACCCCATAATAGCAAATGTTGGTGGTATTCTTGGATCCATCGCGCCATCAGATTTAAGACCTCCTCGTTTAGATCCTTTGCGGTGCATACATCAAACCTCTATTTTCTTCCCTCACAAATATGAACCACACAACATCTTTAATTTGAAACCGGGAATATATTATGCCCCCAAATTATGGTTGTCTGGCTGTAAACATGTTTTTGTTAATTATCCAATGACTACAGTGTGGGAGAGTAACCAAATTCAAGGTGATTCAAGTTTCATTCATCCGAAAATGTATCTGTGTGTTACATATTGCCTGTCGAATGCAAAATGATGAAGCAGTGAGAGTGAGGGAGATGGTTTTAACGCGGTATTAAACATCGTTTTAGTTATATAGAGAAGCTTAATTGCAAAGAAAAATAACAGGTGACCCTTTTCGTGGACGTTTTCCACTTTTGTGAAACACAAGAGCACCTGTATGATGACACGTCAAGGATCATAAGCTGGTTAATCCTAAATTAGAACCCATGACAAGCAGATCCCCGAACAAGGGAGCGTCAGGGGTACATGTAGGTGTTCAGTCAACTAATGAATTTAGTCATTGGCAATGTGACGTTAGAAGCATTGAAAGGGGTAATATCGCCTGTAATATCGTCTGTAATTCATGTGTCCCCCTGAATATTCCAGATTAGAATTGGTCAATCCATGCTTGTCATAAAAGGCAACTAACGGGATCGGGTGGTCAGGTTCGCGGACTTGTTTGATGCATGTCATCTTATTCCAATTGCGTAGATCGAGTCTCATGTCAGTCACTGGGTTGTCTGGTCCAGACTGCGCCATATGGCCGGAATATTGCTGTGTGCGGCCTTAAACAGTTCACAATGTGACATCTACCCAATTCAGTGTGTTGATACATAAACATATGCTTATCAAATAACTCCTTTTTTCAGCTGATAGGCCCTCAGTTCCTGTGGGCAATACAACCAGCCATGAAGGACAGTTGGACACCGGAGATCGAGCAAGCATGGTCCGACCTTTTCAAGCTCATTTCCCACATCATCAAGGAGGCTATGCTACTGTGAAGGTTCACATGAACGAACGGTGTAAGGCACGGTCACAGGATATTCGTCCCTTGACTACCTACAAAACCCCACATCACAACAGATGTGAGGTGTGCAGTGGAACCATGCGAATTCGTTGTGAGAGGGACAGGAGAACACTTCAAGATCTAGGGGCTGATCGACGATTTGCAGTCATACGGTACATTCGAGATACATTATTGTTCTAAACTACCCTGCAAAAAAAAGTTTACACCCATGCTTGATGGTCGCTTGGGTAAAACAAACAAGTAATGTATACGGGTATCATAGTGGTATTTTGGACTTTAATTTGTTTTGTTTCTGTGACTGTTTTCAGCATAGTAACATTTTGAAAACGTTTATAATTTTTTTGTCAAATGTAATTTTGAATCGATACGTTCTTTTGCCCGGCAGTTTATATAACGAAAGTTCACAAAATTAGGATACAGACAACACGCATTTGAAGTCGATGTGGTGGGACAAACGACAAGATCTGTATGGTATTCGGAAGAATTGATGTGTGGTACAGCTGAACATTGAAAGAGCCGTGAATTGTTCGGCACATATCCTGCCATGCCTCTCTGTTTATGAATCTTGCCAGTAAATATAGTCTGATTGATCAGGTAGATTCTGGACATTGTGCAGTTGCAACATCTACCCCTGCCGCCACTACTAGGTCTGGCAGTCATAATGCTTCATTTAATCCATGTGATATAAAGCCGATTGTAATGTATTGAAATTGATAAAACTTTGTTAAAGTGTATATGTAATGTATTAACATATATATTCTTGTGCCATGAATACCCTTAATTAGTTTTCACACGACATAGCTGCATGCACTGATACGGTGAAACCTCGTTACCACGAAATCCTGGGGATGATCAAATATTTTTCGAGGGGGACCAACACTGATCATGAAGCGGCGTGTCGACAAGAAAGACAGTCGTGTCAGTGTTATTCTATTCGCAACCCACACGTATGCAGCCCGTCGGCAGCAATTCTTTATGGAAAGGCCAAAAAAGTGTTTTTTGCTGATTGCTGCCCTGTCGAAACAACCCTCTACTTGTGACGTTGCTTTTGTTTCAAGAACTCGTTTTGAAACATCAATTTATTTTGATAACTTTTATAGAGAGTTTATAATACCGAAATAACACATAGATGATGAATTGTTGATATCAGAGGTGGCGAAATATCCCTGCTCGTACAACATTGATTCCACACACGATAATGACATAGACTGAAGCCGATGCTTGAAAGGCCACAAATCAACTGTTTGAAAGTACGAGTGGTAAGTCATGTGTCCGTTCTAAGGTCATTAACCTGGGGTTCCGCGAAAGGATGTTGCAATTAAAACAAACGAAATATACAAATGCATAACAAAAGAATTCTTGCAGTGGTATAAATTACACTTCCTGCTTTCATATCACAGAAAAGTGCTCGTCTCTTTGTAACTGTAACACACATAGTCTACATTTTTCTTCTCCGATAGAGATACATACTTGTAATTGTTTTCCTATATAAAATCAGTGGTTCTACTGTAATGAAGAAATGTTATTCATTAAACATTCAATATAAAAATCAAATAACTTGTTTTACCTTCAATTCGAATTTATTTTGCTGGACTGCTTGCGTGTTAGTGACAAAGAGTACTCAGATGTACATGTACTACGTCACTCTTAAACCATAATACTGACACAGTCACTGCCGAGACCTACAAGTTCAATCGTCTTTACCCATTATGCGAGTTCTACAGATAACTAAACGAGTTCCCGTTCTGTACCATTTATATAGCAACGTGTGTATATTAAAATGTATCTAACCAGAGAAAGCGAGTGAGGTATGTTTTGAGATACACGTTGATACAAGCGCAATCCAGCAGGAACGAGTTGGTTATTTATTCATTTCTCACTTTGCACATTATCTAAATTCTATGTTGAAAACAATACGTCGCTGGTTTGAAGATGGCATATGAATACAATGTTCTTAGCTGTTCTCTTAAAGTGCAAACTGACAATAAAGTGCACAGCGGTTTCCGAGATCGATTGTAAGAAAAGATAACATGCACACTCATAACGTTCGTTAATAACAAAAATAACCAGCTTCATAATATCAAACTCGGTTCAGTGTAGGCGAGGGGGGCCTGAAAGACTATCGACTCATCGAGACAATCAGTCATGTGATGATGGCTAGGTGTGAGGTGTGAATACTGTGATTTCGTACGAGTCAGCAGGTAGTTTTTATGTTAATATGAAATTGATTATAATTACCGCTTCGCAACATCAATAAAGTTGCACGACAGATTCGCAACACGGGATCTGATCGGTTGAATGAGGACGACATTTTTAATGACTGTCCACTTGGCCCAAGAGGGACCTCACTTTCAAAACGAAGTTCAAGGAATTAGTGGAAACTGTGAATGTTGAGGTGATGCTTCGACATGATGTGAGTTCAGTACCGATGCTCTGAACCTTTATGACATCTCAATGCTTGCAATACGGCGAACAAAAGTGCAAGTCCTTATACTCTGTATTTCAAAGGTATTTGCTCGCGACTCCTGCAATAGATGAAAAAACGGACAAATTCGTACAATAAAAGTCAGATTATAACACAGCGAGGTTTGAGATGCATGCATATTATGCCCAAGCATATCAGTATCATAAACATCAGTTGGTTTGTTGGTTTGTTGGTTTGTTGTTTAACGCCGCACTCAGCAATATTCCAGCTATATGACGGCGGTCTGTAAATAATCGAGTCTGGACCAGACAATCCAGTGATTGATATCATGAGCATCGATCCACGCAATTGGGATCGATGACATGCATCAACCAAGTCAGCGAGCCTGACCACCCGATCCCGTTAGTCGCCTTTTACGGCAAGCATGGTCGCCTTTTACGGCAAATATGGGTTGCTTAAGACCTATTCTACCTATTCTACCCCGGAATCTTCACGGGTCCATAAACATCATTATGTCTATCGGGACTAGATTATTCGTGTGGGAGAAGAGTAAACATGGTTGCAATGTGCTACTGTGGAAGCAGAGTAAACATGGTTGCAATGTGCTACTGTGGAAGCAGAGTAAACATGGTTGCAATGTGCTACTGTGGGAGTAGAGTAAACATAGTTGCAATGTGCTACTGTGGGAGCAGAGTAAACATGGTTGCAATGTGCTACTGTGGGAGCAGAGTAAACATGCAGTTTGAGCAGAGTAAACATGGTTGCAATGTGCTACTGTTGGAGCAGAGTAAACATGGTTGCAATGTGCTACTGTGGAAGCAGAGTAAACATGGTCGCAATGTGCTACTGTTTGAGCAGAGTAAACATGGTTGCAATGTGCTACTGTTGGAGCAGAGTAAACATGGTTGCAATGTGCTACTGTGGGAGCAGAGTAAACATGGTTGCAATGTGCTACTGTTGGAGCAGAGTAAATATGGTTGCAATTTGCTACTGTTGGAGCAGAGTAAACATGGTTGCAATGTGCTACGGACAACTATTAGTATCCAAATGATCAGCCTGATGACCAAAAATAGTCCCGTCAACACATGATGTTATTACACAATGTGTAACACAGCTGCATGTTATGTAAGGAAATGGGTACAAAATAGGAATTCGAGTGATCGAGGTTTCGCTGGTATTTGATGTCAACAAACGCTCACAACCTACCACATGCTTGAACACGATACTATTATACTATCCGTTCGAAATACCAATGGCCCATGTCAACCAATACATTTATATATGCACTGTAAATATATCCTGCGTATGAACGTTGTCAAAACCTAAAATGAGGCTTCACTGTATATCCAATTGTTGTAAACCTTTTAAGTGGCGTTATAGAGTACAAACTGTCAAGACATAATGATTGAATGCCATAAAGTACTGACCATATATACTTATGTCTGGTTGAAATTTCCATGTTGTTTTAAGCCTACAAGATGTTACATGCTCAAAAGATTATACGTTCCTCGTAAAATGATTATGAATATATGTCAGATCTGTTTAAGTTGTTCTTGCCAATAATTTACTTTAACGTGGTTTGAAGACCAGATGATGAAATGAATTTAATAGTTATAAATTGAAATGCATATATCATGTAAAGCTGTTTGGCTTCTGTGGCAAGTGTATTATATCGGATAGTTGTCCCTTTCCAAGAGCCAACTAAGAGGCGCCCCGAAGAGAGTATGTCTTACATCCCATGAAGTATGCAAGAGGATGCTGTGTGGGGACCAATGACGGAGGTTCCGCTTGATGTGAATTGGCTTTTGTATCTCTGTGGTAGAATGCCTAGGTGAATATAGTGTATCTACAATGTTTATATATGTATATTAAACATGGTCAATATTTGGAATAAAAATATAAATTCTTCATACATGTCTTTCTACATTATTTGTGAAAGCGAATTGGATTGGGGTGAACTGGGGCGGTGGAAGTAGCTTTGGGGTTGAAGCTTTCGCTCGTCATGCCGAAGACCCGGTCCGATTCCCCACATGGGTACAATATGTGTAACTCATTTCTGGTGTCCCTCGCCGTGATAGTGGTGGAATATTGCTAAAAGGGGTGTAAAGCTACACTCAGGCACTCAAAGCAAAAAGCAAATCAATCACTTTAAGATTTTAATTTTCTCACAGCGAAAGCACTGTGAAACCACGGTATGTGAGATAAACTGATATGCCAAGCAATCGTTTTAGTGGCATGTAAAAAAATGAATTATCTTTTACCCAACGATAACTATTGGTTCCAGAATTGGAAAAAAGAGTTTCATTTCTGAGTTACAGTACTTGCCGCATGCTTTGTTCCGATGAAATTTCCTTTGGCGTACAGGGTTCATCATTATTACTTTTTTTTTCATGTCGACCACCTCCGTGGTCTAGAGCGGAAGGTCTGGGGTTTGATTCCCGGCCGCGTCATGCCAAAAGACGGAAAAAGATGTTGTTACCCTGCCTAGTGCTCGGCATTGAGGGGATAAAACGAGGACTGGTCGGCTCGACTATGTCTGAGTCGGGTATTCACGTTCAACTGCGGCATGGTATCTCAGTTGGCTAGCACTATAAAATCGGCAGTAGTCCGGAATTATGGAAGCACCCACCCCCCACCCCTCACAAACACGTGCATGAACGTCGCTATATAAATGCAATAATCTTATTCGCGAAGTAAAACCCCTTTTCACCTCACATCTTCTCATGTCTCTTAACTTTTATCTAATCTGATTCAGAATAGGCTATCAATAACCTTTGTTCCTGGGGGAGTAGATGTAGTTAACAAATTCGCATCGAGCGAACATAATTAACATTAATACATAATTTGTGGAAATGCTGAATGTGTTGCAAATAACAATTCTAAGCCCACATATTATAACATTGGTATTAGTTTCACGACTCCCCGAAGCCTTTTTCTGTTTGACCATAATATTGAGTGAGTGAGTTAGTATGGTTTTACGCCGCTTTTAGCAATATTCCAGGAATATCACGGCGGGGGACACCAGAAATGGGCTTCACACATTGTACCCATGTCGGGAATCGAACTCGGGTCTTCGGCGTGACGAGCGAACGCTTTAACCACTAGGCTACCCGACCGCCCCTTGACCATAATAGGGATGAGTGATCCAAGGCACAACAACCCAGTGCAGAACCGATTCTCATAACTGATTCATTTTGGACTTGCCTCCAAGGCTACAAGCAATTACCACGATCCCTGCAGGAAATCTGTTACAGTCGGCGTGATGACAATTCGGATGGTGTATGCCATCATCTACTTTTACCCCACGAAAAGAAATGTCTGTTGTTGATGTATTTGAACCCTTCTACGAAGAGACACTTTCACTGGATGTGTTTTTTTCGTAAGGTGTGCAATCAATCGTTGTCTTCTTGGGATGTCTCAATTCTTGGTGTCACCCGCCGTGATATTGCTGGAAAAAGGCATTATATAATTTATGCACTCACTACCTACAGCGAGGTGATGACACTTGCTTCTTAGAACTTCTTTCTAATACCTGCCAATTTAATCACTCGTCACACTTCGAAAATGTCGATAACCGCGTGTTTCCATGACGAAGACGGTCATAAGACAACGTACAACTACATTTGCTGCAAGTTAACTGTTTGTTTATTTGAAGCAGTGCTCATGTTAACACCAAGACGGTCGCTATTTGCCAGTTACGCATATTGCTATTGGCAGACAGTGGGATCGTGCAGCTGGTTCTGTAGTGACGAGACCAAAAACTGGCCGTCGATAGAAAACAGCAAGACGGCCAGATCACCGTACTTTCTGAAAGGAATCCTCAGCTTCGGTCCTGGACAGGGAATGTTATAGAGTACAAGCTTCTTAAATGTTGGTCAAAATATATCCCTGTGTGTGAATCATCGTCCATGTCATACAGGCCATGTCAACTGTAAAGCACACCAAACGCAATCTGGTATTTATTTATATTCTTTCTGATGATCGGCGTTGTCGATGGCATACATGTACCAAACATATCAGATTTGCAAAGTTAAACAACATTGGTCGTCTCATCATCATTGGTACACACTCAATGCTGGTTGAATAGAGTCCATGCGAAAGAAGATACTACAATGTAACCTGTGTGTCAGGGTGAAGCAAGACCGAAGCCATGGAGTCAAGGTGCCGAACACTGGCACCCATCCACCTACTCTCCGCGACCAATGTTGTTTTGCTTAACTTCGCCTAATATATAACCTGTGTTCAGTACAGAGGACCACATGCCACATTCTGAAGAACTTGTTATACAACAACACTGAACAGTGCTTACTGTAACATTATCATTTGTACCACTTCAAATTTATACTTTAATTTGACAGTGAATGGAAAATACAAATTTAAAAATTTCAAAGTGCTAAAAAGGAAAGCACGTCAAATAATTGCTAATATTACCATACAAATTTCATGACGATATTTGGGAGGGTATTCCGTTTTAAATCAGATCAGACACAAACAAGCGAACTACGCAGAACTAAGGCTTTTTCGCTCCCATTTGAAAAAACAACTCTATAGTTCAATGGAAAGACACATGCTTCTGATTTATGGGTATATAACGTCTGTCAGATGTACGACTTAACTGCAAATGCTATCTGAGGCTATTGACGTCGTATCTTTCAAATCGGTGTTCTGAGCTTTTAAGTAACGAGGATGCGATACTACATCATGAATGGCTGCAGAATGAAATTAAATATGTTGCTATCTTTCAAAATATTAGATATTCCCCAGACACTGTCTATACATTTGTAATGATTAATGTCTAAATACGTTGTTGGAAGGAGTTTTTTACATTTATAGATACTTGGTTGTGCGTAAATGTGATCCACTTTCCATAAATGAAAGTACAATGTCATGTAAATAGGCAATGCATATGCAACAAGACACTTCTACCTTATTGAGTCTGTTTGTTTCTACCATATCTAGGTGTTTAATGTTTGGCCAGATATTATCTAAGAGCTTGGATTACGATTCCGCCTTCTTATAAGATGAATTGTGAAAAAGACACTACGACCAGAAATGTAAGTACAATGTCAAAAGAAAAAATCATTCAGTATCACTACCAATATAAATACGTAATTTAAAATATTATAATTAAAATCGGTTGTATCTTAAAAACACAAATTATGACGAATCGCGATTGGAAATAAACAAATATATATAATTGAAACTTCCGACCTGAAGTTTTGGGCCATCA